GCGCGGCGCGCACTTCACCCGCCCACCCGCGCCGGCCCGCTCGCGCCACGCCGCGGGGGGCCCCGATGAAGCCCCACACGCCCGACGGCCCGAGGCCGCAAGACGCACGCAGCACGCGAGGCGCAAAGCGCCGCGCGAGAGGGCAGGGCCCTCCAATGCAAAGGCAGCGGGGCCGCGCCGCCGTGCTTCGCGCCCCCTCGCGAAAGCGGCCCGCATCGTGCGGTTTGGGTCACGCCGCGCGGCGCGGCCGGGCGGCAGGCGACGGCTTTTTCTCTTCCGTGGAGGCGTCGCCGCCTTTTGAACATGCAATGGCTCGCGGTAATGGCCGCCAGCGCGCGGAAGCGTGGAATGGGTCATGTGTTCGCTCATGAAGAGTGTTGCGAATACGTTTTTTTTTTGGAAGAACTCTATTTTTAGTGAGCTGTTTGGCCGTAGTTTTAGCTACTTACTTTACGCTTTGTTTCCCTGGTTTATTTACTTTTAGTTGTTTTTTTCTTCCGCGTGGGCGCGTATTTTTTTTTTCTCCTGAGCTGTTTTCTTTGGTTCCTTTTTTGTTATCATTTTTTGAGTTCGTATTTTCGATTTTTGTGGACCTCTCTTTACTTGTTATGTTATGCGAATGGAATAATCGACTGTTTTTTTTCCCCATCTCTTTTCTGTATTTGTTTTGCGTTAAAGCTTGAGCTTAGTTATGAGCATCACCACTTGTATCGTCGGGGATTCTATATGCGGTTCTTTGGGAGATTCGAAGCTTTTGAGCTCGGAGGATGTCGTGTTTCTTCGGGGCTACAGTACTTACGAAGGCGATCGGCCAAGTGAGGCTGCGGCTGCACAGGAAGGAGGCGGTGAAATCATTGCTGCCATTAATGGTCTGATCGAAGTGACGGATCGTGTGGTTTCGGTCAAAGGAATGTCTACACGCTATCATCCCGAAATAGGAGATATTGTTATTGGTCGAGTAAAAGAAATCAGCGGTAACCGATGGCGCATCGATATTTGTGCCTATCAAGAGGCCGTGATGTTGCTTTCGAACGCAACTGAACCTGGTGGCATCCTGAGGAGAAGAGGAAGAAGTGATGAACTCACAATGAGAAATATATTTGATCAAGATGAACTGGTTGTTGCTGAGGTGCAGCGTATTTCTCCCGAGGGCGTAGTTTCGCTTCATACTCGATCCGGTGATAAATATGGAAGACTTACTGGATTCGGCGTTCTCGTATTAGTATCTCCTGCCCTGGTAAAGCGTGTCAAACATCATTTTTTGGTTGTTGATGTTTTGCCGGTGAGTATTCTTCTTGGCACCAATGGTATGATTTGGGTGGCTCCAGAGATGGAAAAAAGAGAGGGCACAGAAAGTGCTTCTTGCTTTAGTGAGCAAACAGACGTTGATGTGAGGCGCAGTGTCGCACGTGTGGCGAACTGCATTAAAGTAATGAACTGTGCCCGACTTCCCATCTTTGCAAAAACCATTGATGCTTGTGTGAAGGCTTCCATTGATGTGGGACTTGGACCGTTCGAGGTTTTACATAATTCAAATTACGATTTAATAACAACTGCCGTGATGGAAGCTATAACGGCACGTAAACGCCAGAGGCAATAAAAAAATTTTCTTTTTTCTTTTAACTCTTCATCATCCTTCCTCAATCATTGGTTAAAATGTTGTCGACAACTGCTGCGTTGAATGTCAGCTGCAAAATATGTTTTTTTTCTATTTATTTCCTCTCTTTTTTTTGTTGTTCCAATGTTCCTTCTTTTGGATCTGGCGGTGAGGCGATGAGGCGTTATTCACGCAGGTGGCGCTTCTTGGCACTATTGGTTGCGCTGATATATGTGATATGTTTTGCTCTAGAGAAGCAAGAACCAGGCAAGATAGAAGCGGTCACTCGGATTCCTCAGAAACCCCAATATGTTAACCCCACTTATCGTAATGTGCGCACGCTTATTATGGTTCCTGGCCATGGTGTTTTAAAATCATTGAGTGCTTCTGATTGGAAAAATCAAAGTAACTGGAGCTTCGAGAAGCATCAACTTCGTGATGGTGTAGTTTTGCCTTTTTGTTTTGCCTCCCATATTAGGCGGGCCCTTGTTCTGTTAAAAAAGCAACTTAATTCTTCTATAATAATTTTTTCGGGGGGTCAGACTAGCGCCAGTGCCGGACCACGTAGTGAAGCCTTGAGTTACTATATTCTGGCAGAGGAGACAAATTTATTTGGCCTCTTTAACTCCGCGGCCCAGGTGAGGAGTGTTCTTGAGAATCATGTCTTTACTGAGGAGTTTGCCCGGGATTCTTTTGAAAACTTGTTATTTAGCATTGCACGCTTTTACGAAGTAACACGTCATTTTCCAGATTCGATTATTGTTGTGGGATGGAAGCATAAACGCGAACGTTTTGTGAAATACCACAGAGAAGCCTTGCGTTACCCAGCAGAGAAATTTTCGTATATAGGGCTTGACTTTGAGGACGCGGCTCCTTTTGTGAGGGATGTGGAACCGTATCGGCTGGCCTTACCGTATAGTGATGCCAAGGCCCTTTCGTTTGTTAATAAGGATATATATCTTTGTAATGCAGGGAAGCTGACGAAAGATAAACGAAATCCCCATTTTCGTGTTGCGCCTTATGAGGCAAGTTGTCCGTCTCTTCTGCCGTTGTTGCAATACTGCGGTCCACATCTTATTGACAAAAGTCGAGTTCCGTGGGGATAGATGACCGTCTCGCGTTGTTGCCTTTTATTGTTATTTGTTGCCATTATAACTGCTGGTTATTATAATCTTATAATCTTGTAAATACATACACATATATAATTGCTTATATATGAAAGCGGCTTGTATGTTCACCTTCGCATTCTTGGTAGGATATTCCAAAATGTATGTGATGATATAACGGTCAAATAAAAAGAGAAAGGAAAACACCACCACCAAAAAAACAACAACAACAAACGAGGAGGAGAAACAAATTTTTTTTCTGGTTATGTTCTGATTTTTCTCTGTGAGGTCCACCTTCTCTTGTTGTTACTTTAGATGTCCTCCTCCGGCGCGTTCCTTGAAGCTGGGGAAGTTAGTTTTAAGGAAGAGTTGGAGGAAGATGACATTTATGGTTTCGAAAACTCAGAAGAGTTTGAGCGAGTATTTGCGAAGAGTAAAAAATCCAAGCGGAGTGTGACACAGCTTTCGACTACGCTTCAAGCGCTCATTTTTCAGAATAATGGTATTGATGCGGAAGCTGAATTTGAGGCCATTGTAGAATACATTTTGGGAGCTGGATCACACAGCTATGGTGGCAGTCTAGAGGCTCGAGAGTACAGAAGAGCGCTTCTTGCCTCGTTTGAGTATGAATGGCAGGAGTTTCAGCAGGAGCATCCCTCTGTGTCTCTTGCTCAGGCGATGCGTATTTTGCCATATCGCTTCACTCTGCCTCCTATGGAAAAAACACAGCTGGAAATGTTGACTGATTTAAATCCCAGAAAAATGGGCAGCGGAAACTTGGGTACGGTTTTGCTTCGTATCTGGTATATAGATCTTGCGGGTTGTACCTGTTCCACCTTGCGGGGATTTCCATTTGATATGAAGGCCTCAGAAGCAATACTCACCACCATGGAACGCTTGTTTTCGATTACAAATTTTGACAAGAGTAAACGTCAAGGACTTACGCACGTTTTTAAAATTCAGGGAAGAAGAGAATACGTGTATGGGGATGAAATATTAATTAACTTCCGCTACATCAGGGATAGCGTGACACAGCAGCGAGAAATAAATGTGGTCGTGGAGCCACATGAGAAGACAGTTCTAACCTATCCCGTATTTGTACCTTCATACTCCTACCCAAGCAACTCCAGTGGGAAACACCGCGCTGGTATCAACCGAAGTGACGCCCCGGACGGGGTCTCTGCGGGAATCAGCGTTTGGGACATTCATGGCAAACTAGGAATCAAGATTAAAGGGCGTCTTTGTAATCTTGTCTTTACTTCGGAAAGAGCAAAGGAGGAAGGTGTTCGCGAGGGAGATTCACTTTATCTTGCAATGCTTGTGGAGGTTTACTATGGTGCCAAATTAGTTTGTCCGCCTCAGATGACTAATTGGGTAATATGTAATGACCTAGTTGGTTCAAGCGAGCTTAATGGTTTTTCTTCGGTTACGTGGGGGAAGAAGACCAAACTAGCTTTCGATATTCAACTCTCGAACGCCCCTCGAGAACTCAAATTGTGTATTACTCTGTTGGCCACCTGTGGGGATCGCTTCGGTGCTGTGAATTCTCTCAGCGCCGAGGAACTTGTTCAAAAGGCAGAGGATCATTCTGGTTTAAAAAGGACGGATGAATATCATGTGAGTCCTGTATTTTTCCTAGGAGTTGCCTCGGTCCAACTATTTGATTATCTAAGTTACATGCAGACAGGAAAAGTGAATCTGCGGCTCTGGGGCACAAAGAAAAAGGCAAATCCCATGTGTCTTATCCCAAACAATCTCAACAAAAATGATATGTTGTTTTCATTGACCTTTCCTACGTTTAATAAACCAGTCTTGATCCCGAATGCTGCACCCCCAGATTCCAAAAGAAATGAGTGGGAACATCGGCTCCTTGAGAGCGAGCTTTGCCTTCATGAAAATCTGAGAGAAAGTAAAATTGAGCAATTAAAACAGTTAAAACGAATTCTCGCGAGTGACCCACTGACAGAGCTTACAACAAGTGATAAGGTGCTTCTTTGGAAACATCGAGAAGAACTTATTATGCGTCCAAGGGCGCTTGCAAAGTTTCTTCTTGCCGTTAATTGGCTTCAGCCTTATGCTGTATATGAGGCGCATAGCCTTTTAAAACGATGGGCCCCTCTTCAACCTATGGATGTGCTTGAATTACTAGATATACGCTTTGTGGATATCCTCGTTCGTGAGCATGCTGTAAAATATCTGAATGGTATGACAGACTACGAACTCAAAGGGTGTGTTTTACAATTGGTACAAGTTCTTAAACATGAACCCTATCATGATTCAACGTTGTCCAGATTTTTGTTAAAAAGGTCATTACAATCGCCCAATATGATTGGGCATTATGTTTTTTGGTACCTTGTTTCAGAGATGGGGAATACCTCTGTCTCTGAACGTTATGGAATTCTCTTAGAGGAACTGATACGTCGCATGCCGGAGCGACGAGGTTATTTGCACCAATTGTATGTAGCTGATCAATTGTTCGAAAGCGCCATGCGGGTGAAAGAGGCACCGAAAAGGGATCGCATTGACTGTCTTCGAGAGCATCTTAAAAGTCTTTCTTTGCCACCTCGCTTTACACTTCCTCTAAATCCGGCGATGGAGTGTTGTGGTCTTGATATTGGTAAATGCAAAGTAATGGATTCCAAGAAATTTCCTCTTTGGCTTGTATTTCGCAACTTTCAGGAAGAATGTGAACCTTTTTATGTTATATTCAAGGCGGGAGATGATTTGCGGCAAGACTTGTTGACTCTGCAACTTCTTGAATTGATGGATTCGCTTTGGAAGTCTTGTGGGTTATACCTCCATATTATTCCGTATGGTTGTATTGCGACAGGGGAGGGCGTTGGGATGATTGAGGTTGTTCCCAACAGTGATACTGTAGCAAACATTACGCGCAAATACGGCGGCGCCCAAGCTGCCTTCCGTGATGAACCGCTCATGAATTGGCTGAGACAATTTAATCGAGAACGAGATGAGGTGGAACGGTGTCTCTGGAATTTTATTTGCAGTGTCGCTGGATATACTGTGGCTACGTACGTTTTAGGTATTGGTGATCGTCACAATGATAATATTATGCTTCGTCAAGACGGAACCCTTTTTCATATCGATTTTGGCCATTTCTTGGGCAACTTCAAGACGAAGTTTGGTATTAAACGAGAAACTGCACCTTTTATTTTTACCCCGATGTATGCCTACATGTTGGGAGGGCAGAGTAGCCCCATTTATGTGTATTTTGTGGATCTCGCATGTCATGCCTATAACGTCTTGAGACGTTTTGGTGGCACGCTGATGACGCTTTTTATGCTGATGCTTTCAACCGGTATACCAGAGCTACAGAAGGTGGAAGACATTGGCTGGTTAAGAACAGTTTTGCTTATCGATCGTTCAAGCGAGGAGGCAACGGAACACTACAAGCTGCAAATATCTCTGGCTATGGCTAACTTCCGTGCTCTATTCAATGACTATATTCATATTGTAACTCATTAGCTACTCATTTCTAGTGCCATGTTTGATTCCTTGCGCTGCTCGGTGGCTTTCTCTCTGTATGTTTGGCTTTTGTCAGTGTGTATGCGTGTGTGTGCATGCGTGCATGCGCTTATATGTGTGGGCGTGTGTACTGTTTGTTTGTTTGTTTGTTTTTGTTAGCACGACCATATCCGTGGTGCTGAACCGTCGGTGACATCGTGTCTTTTGAGCCAATCCCTGAACGCGAAGCTTCCGCCGCACGCACACAGACCTAAAAGGCTGCGAGAAATGGTGGGTAGGACGGTTTATATATATATACATATATTTCTATCTGTGCAAGACCCGTATGCCTTTACGCCGACGTGTATTCTTGAGTTCCCTTTCTTGTTGCCATTCGTAGATCAAGGTCATGTCTTGGTGGAGGCCCTTAACGAAGCAGATGCTGCTGAAACTCTCACAGCATCCCGCCGTCGCCAGGTACGCACGTCAGGGAATGAACTACGTGAAGAGTCACCCGTCGGGCATAAAAATATCCACCGCGATGTCCAACTCGTGGGGAGAGCTAAAGAACCGTGTCGGGTCGTCTGCTTCAGCCTTTCACAGGTCAGGCTTTGAGGGCAGCAGGAGGAAAGGCGGATACGCCACACAAGTTCTCAGCATGTGGAGCAAGTATAAGGGACGTGTTCTTTCATTTATTGCCGTGAATTTCATGGGGCTTGTGTTTTTGTTCCAGTTTGGATCCGCGCTGTGGCCGATGTTCAAGCATTTTGTAGCAAGCCTTTTTACGGAGCCGGAGAAGAAGATCAAGAAACGTGAGGGCCCTCCTCGCGCCATCAAGGCCTATGCGACTGCTGCCGACGAAGTTGGAGGGAAAGAAAAACAGCCCGTTCTCCACCATCATGAGGTGAAGGAGAAGCAGAAACCAGAGGAGAAGCAACTTGATGGGTCGGAAAATTTGGAACGATTCTCATTTGTGTTCTCTGAAGGTACCGACGCTTACGCCAAGGAGTCCATGCGGCGCCTGGAGCGCGACGTGTTTGGCGACGTTGCGAAGCCTGATTTTTCCACCTCCTTCAAATTTCGCATGAGCGAGGACGAGGAGTTCAGGCCATCTGTGAAGAAGTAATGGGTTGCTGTCGTCTTGCTCTCCCGTGGCCGGGCCTGAGGCGGATGCTACACCGTAGTTTATTCACAATCATTTGACTTAAACATGGCGTGCTGCGGCTATGGGGGGGGGGAGCGACGGAGCCATCCAATTGGGGTTGAAGGCTCTCAGTTGAAACCGGCCTCATCGTGCTGGAAGTGTTCTTTTCCATGCATGTTTGTTTACTGTTAACGGGCTTGTCTTTTTTTTTTTTTGTTTCTTGTTCTTCCTGTTATCGTCGCCCCTCCCCTCGCTCTCTTGGATACTGCTACATGTATATAATTGAAAAGCGTCGATGTCGCTCTTTTTTTTTTCTCGTAGGGGGTTGTTTTGCGATGTCTGTCCTGCCGCATGTCAACACCGCAACGTTGCAGTCGGTGTTGCAGACAGTTTGCTCCACGGGGGAGCCAGCCATAATTGCCCCATCCTCGTTTCTGGGGGAGCTGGACACCGTCGTGGATGAGGTGAAGAAACATGGGATGAAGCTGGCGAGCATTCCCCATGGTGGAATAACCATTCTTCCTCCTGTTCCAGTAAGTGCCGCCGAGCTCTTTGACTTCTGCGCAGAGTATTGTAGGGCTCAGACGCATGACGAGCGCTTGGCAGTGCGGCAGAGAATAAATAACCACAACTTCTCCATGCAGGACCCGCTTTTCCGGACGCCTTGCCGACAGCTGTATAACCCAGCTGACTACGTGCTGCGTATAGTGCACCTGTGCGCGGAGCTTGTTTCTGCCTCAGAGGAGGAGTACCAAAGAGCCTACGCTGTCGCACCAGTGCTGCATATCAACCCTGTCCAAGGCATTTGCCACAAGCTGCGCAGCATGTTTCAGTCAGGTAGCCTGTATGTGCAGCCCTGGGTGACGCACGAGAAGGAAAAGGAGGAAGAGGTTCAAGACATAGCTGAACCCAAAAGAGACGTGCCGTCCATGCCGGAAATTTCTGAGACTGGCCGAGGCGACAGCGGCGTCAGCATCAGCGACACTGAGCTGAGCGTTGAGGAGAGCAACGCGGTAGATGAGGACTTAACGGGGCAGGAGGTTGTCGACAACGCGGCGGACACGGTGGCCGAGTACCTGTCAGAGACGGACTTTGGGGTCGTGACGGAGAGCGGCGTCTTCTACGATGAGTCCGGGGAGCGTGTGCTCGCCATTTACATCCGCGGCGGTGTCAAGAAAGACATCTGCCAACGCGCGTCTAGCGCCCTTGAGGCCGCTGCGACGACAAGGAACCTGCGCAAGGCGATCAATGGCGGCAAGGTTAACCCGGAAACGGGAATTGTGGGCTACTATGATTATCTGAATAACCCCACCCAGCGCAAGTGCCGTGAGACGGAGTTCACGCGAAAGAATTGGAGCACTATAGCCGACCCCTGCGAAGCATTCCTTGTGGCAATGGATAAACTCTACAGTGAGTGTGCCCCGACGCACTATAAGCTGCAACGTATCGCTATTCCACCTCATTATCAATTGTTTAATACGGTCTTTAGTACAATGACGGTCAATCGAAACTTCAGAACGGCGGTGCACACCGACAAGGGCGACTTTCGAAGCGGCTTGGCTGCTCTCAGCGTGATAGACGGCGTCTTTGACGGCTGCCACTTGGCGATCAAGGCGCTGGGGAAGGCTTTTCGTCTCGAAGTTGGGGATGTGCTTTTCTTTGACACCTCCCTCGAGCACGGGAACACCGAGGTGCACAACTTTGACTACTGCTGGAAGCGGGTGAGCGTCGTCTGCTACCTGCGCAACGGTCTGATGTCCCAGACGTGCGTGATGGAGCGGCGTCAGTGGCTGCAACGGCAAATGTCGAAGCAGCACCTGCTTGATAAGTCGCGTCAGAGTGTGGTGAACTTAAATGTCGTGGACCCCAGCCTCCCTCCCATCTACGTCCCTGGAAAGTTGGTGGGGGTTCTCTCTTCCGTGCAGCAGGCCGCTCTGGGGTTTGTTGTGGATCGCCTCAGCAAAGGCAATGGCTGCATCATTGCGCTAACGATGGGGTTGGGTAAAACTTTACTTTCCCTGGCCTTGTGCTACTCGCATCTTTGCGACCCTAACCCACGGGACGTGCTCATTCTAGCACCGAAGCTTGTGCTCACGCACTGGCTAGGCGAAAAGCAAAAGTGGGAAAAGTACGGTCTTAACTTTCCAGAGTTTGTCGTCTCTGACGGGACGGACTCCGCCTCCTTCGAGCTTTCGCTCAAGCGGTATGAGCAACAGCTCAGCGGGGAGGTGCCGCGGACAAGTCACGTGTTTGTCATCAACCCAGAGTACGTCCGGTCGGTGCTGAAGAAGCTCCCGGGGTTTCGTCCAAGTCTCATGATCGTCGACGAGGGTCACCGTGTGTCCGCCAAGGGCAGCAAACTAAAGGACTGGTTGGAGGGCATGCGTTGCCCGTCGCGCGTGATCCTCTCTGGAACGCCTGTGCAAAACAACGCGGAGGAGTTGTACCGACTCATCGGCTGGATAAACAGCGATGTCCATTCGGTTCTGCCGCCGCGTGTGTTCTCGGAGCTTGCAGCGACCATCAATCGATACATTGAAGGGGATGATTCTGTTTTTGCCGCAGCCGTGTCTGCGCAACGATACATTCAGGAGTGGATGAGCACGTACGTGTTTAGCGTCATGAAAACGGACCTCCCACCCCTGCACGACTACATTATCACCTGCGCGTTTTCAAGCGTCCAGCAAAGGATGCTGGAGGACCATCTTGGCACGGAGGCCGCAGATGGGATGGTCAGCATTAAGGCTTCTGAGCACCGTCCCTATCACCTCTCCACGCACCCGCTGTGCTTTTTGGGGTTTATCTCCGGCGTGTATAAATCCCTTAGTGGAACCCACAAGCTGGCGCCCGAGGCGGCGGAGGAGGAGGGTGAGTCACAGGAAGATGCTTCACAGACGTATTCGCTTACCGAGGACGACAACAAGCTAATAGATGAGTGTCTGTCGATGGTCATCTCGGGCCGCCTGGCGGAGTTTGTGGGTCTCAGTGGGAAGATGACGGTGCTTATTTTGATTCTGCAGTCCATCATGGAGATGAAGGAGAAGGCCATCATCTTCTCACAGTACGTCGGGTCCCAGGACTTTATCTCGCGAGTATTGACCTCCTTTGACATTATTTCCTCCACCATCCGCGGGAGGGACTGCCATGAGCGGCGCCGCAGAACAATAGAGAAATTCAGAGAGGACGAGAACATTACTTGCCTTCTTCTATCGACGCAAATTGGGGCGTACGGGCTTGACTTCACCGCCGCCAACCACGTTATCCTGTGGGACAGCTGGTGGAACCCGCAGGTAGAATCGCAGGCCGTCGCACGGGCCTACAGACGTAATCAAACAAAGCCTGTCGTTGTTTACCGTCTCGCCTCGGTGTATGAGGACACCATCGTTCTTAAAACGCAAATACGGAAAATGGCGCTATTTAAGTTTCTTATGAGCTATCAAGCCGCACGCGCGGTGCCTCCAGAAGAGCTGCTGGACTGCGTTGACACCGAGGAGGATGAGCAGCGGCGCTTTTTGTGGCTTTCCCTAAAGGCAAGCCATATCGAGGGTGGTGCACCGGCGGTATCAAAAGTATTCCGTTACGGCGATACGCTAAGGAATGAGTCATGGTCTTGAAGCATACATGGATGAATTTCTTGGTCGTTGTTGCTTGTTTTTTTTTTGTTGTTGTTGTTGTTTTTTTTTTTTATTTTCCAGTGGGGGGGGGGGTGCTGTTGCATGCCCCCACTTCCTACTCCGTTCGTGCTGCGGAGGGGGCAGCTTCGAGGATTATTGTTCGTTTGATAAAAGGGGAAAACAATAAAAGAAAAGAAATGTAAACGCTTCCCTCTCCATTCGGTGCTCCGCGCTGGCGGCCTTGGGCCTTGCAGCACGTCTCTTCCCCCTCAACGTGGTGATTTCCGTCACGCACGCACACACCCAACAGCGGGAAGCTGTCACCCTCCTTCTTATGTTTGTTGCTGACCGGCAGTACGTGTTGTTGTTGACGTTGTTGTCTTTTTTGCCCGTGAGATTCATGCATGCCATTCTCGTCCCCGTGAACGACAATGGAGCCTGTCGATGCCTGCCGAGGGGTGTGTGCGGCTGTTTTCACCACCGTCACTTTTTTGTTGTTGTTTTTGATCTCGTTGCTTTTTAACAACAAATACCACAAGAAAACGAAATATATATATATATATATATGTGAAGCAATGCCACTTAGCCCTGTGGTGGAGGCCCGACTACGCCTCAGGCTGGGCGTGGTGCGCAGGCATTTAGCTCAGCGGAGGGTGATACCGGTGGTTCCGAGGTTAGGCGTGGAAAAATTGCGGTCGTGCCCCTTCTTCGCCAAGTGGCCTGCAGCGGCTCTGTCGGAGCTCCGCCGGGAGATGGTGCTGGAAGTCTACTTGAGGGGGGAGGCGCTCCTGTACGGCGGGGTGCCCTGCGCCGTGTCGTCTTTGTTTTGGATCGTCTCTGGAACGCTCGCTGAGCTGCCGAGCAGGCGTGACCGATGTGAGCGGAAGAGGCTTTTGGAGACCGTGGAGGGCAGCGTCCCCCTCGTGAGCAATGTTTGGGGTAAGGCGCCCTCGTGCGGGTCTTCGCACGCCGAGTTTCATGACAACCTCGCCACCTTTGGCGCTGGCCAGTTTGCCGCGGGGGAACGCCTGTTCGTGGGCCTGCCGTACCATAGGACCATACACTGTGAGAGCAACGTCACGTGCCTTACCGTGAGTTTTCGTGCCGTCCAGAGACTTCGGAAAAAGTGGCAGGTGCCGCCAGAGGCATCGGAGTCGGCAGCGAAGGAAATTATGCGGGAGCAGCTGTTACGAGCTGACGATCGACCTCCACTCCCACTCGCCCTGCAACAAAATCCAATTTTATGCTGCCTGGATGCCGCAACACTCAGCATTCTCTGGATCCGCCTCTCCCCGATGGTAGCCTGCGCCAACGAAGTCATCTGCGACGATGTTTTTACTGCCGACACCGTTAGTTTCCTCTTGTCAGGGGAGGTGCGCGTGGGCGGCACGCGTGACCAGCGCAGCAGTAAAATTGTCCCGTGTGGGGGCGCCGTTGGGTTGCAGAGCTTTGCACCGTATGAGGTGCCCCGTGCTGGGGATGAAAAGTGCCCAGCCGTGGCGCTAACCTTCTCGCAACTATGGGGGATTGGACGGCAGGCATTTTCGGAGATGGTGAGCGACACGGAATGGAGAAAGTGCGCGGCAGTTGCCCAGAAGACGATACATTTTAAGATTGACCCCGCGCTTCTGGAAGGGGTGAGGGTGTTCGCCTCACTCTCTCTCGCCAAGGTTGCGGCGCTTGCAAAGCGGATGGAACTACGTGTGGTCCGGGGGGCCGCGTACATATTGTCCCCGAATAAGAAGCCACAAGAAGCCATTGTGGTGTTGGTGGGCAGAGTCTATTTTGAGGAGCAGACTTCTGCAGAGAGGGCGCCGCATGGTGGGAAGGCAGCGAGGACTCATATCCCTTGTGGTACTCCCGTGGCGTTTGCCGAGTGTGTGGCGGAGGTGCCGCTGCGGTGTGGCGTGTTTGCTGAGACAGGTGCCGTCGTCGTGAGCCTGACACGTCGCGCCATGGTGGAGACTTTTCGCAGAAACGACAACGGGCCGGAAATGGAGCCGGCGGTCACAGAGGCCGCCATGACTCAGCTGGATGTTCCGCTTGCCGCACGTAACGCGGCACGCATCGTAAACAAGGCCCAGGAGAGGGCGGTGCAGCGCGTGCGGAAGCACGCGCTGGTGCAGCCGAGCAGCGCGGCGCCACGGGAGGAGGAGCAGCAGGGCGTCTCTCTTCTGGACCTCGACGTCGATCGGATGATTGAGCTCCGTACCCAGGTGCTGTCGACGCTTGCCTTGCAGGTGCGAAGCCTCCGCCCAGGCATGTGGCAGGCGGAGCGTGGCGGGGCTCATTACGACACGGCCTCACGCACCATCATGAGGAACGCGGCGCCCAACGAAGCGCCAAAACCGCACCGTCGGCAATCCTGTTTCTCGCTTGACGAAAGGGGCTGCCTTGTGTTTTGCGGCAAAGGCGCCGTCGTGGATGAAAAGCCGGAGGGGGGCGCGCAGCCGCCTGGCTCACTGAGTGGGGCGGAGGGAGAGGAATACGCTCCAAGGCGCGCCTCGCCAATTCATTTGGCAGCTAAAAGTGCCCGTTCAAAGGCGTCCCACAAACTTCCGTCCCCTTCCGCCCTGCGATGTGCCCCTGCTGAGAAGCTGCCCCCCGTCGTGGGCCCTGCGCCGGCGTCTGAGCGGGTAAAGGCGCTTCGGCGCGTGGGGGAGCAGCTGCAAGAGGAGGCCGACAACGCGCTTAGTCTCCCCCTGGGCTGTTTTTTGTCCCCATCAGGGGCACACAAACCGCTTGCATACTGCGATGTAAAGGAGAAGGTGCGAATGCGGGTGTGCGAGTAAGGAGCCGGTGCATTTTTATTTTTGTTTTTTTTATTTTATTATTTGTTCCCCCCCCCCTCCTCCTGTTGTTGCTGTTGTTGTTTCCTCTCTTTCATCTTCGGGTGATTGGTGGATCGTCTTGGAAGCGGAAAACAAAAACAACGAAAAAGGTTTGGGTCGGGAAAAATGCGTTTCCGCCTTCTACCTGTTGCTAAACACCTGTACACCCCCTCTCTCTCTCTCTCTCTGTCTCTGTCTGTGTGTATGCGTCCGACTGTTTCTGCCCACTCCCCAAATTGCACTCCCCTGGAACCGTTTTTTGGTTTTTTTGTTGTTTTCTTTTTCCCTATTTGCCGTCTTGTGTGTCTGAGAGAAAACGGCGTGGCATGCGGGCGAGACATGACAAGCCCGCTCACCGTGTACGTGCTTGGCTCGTCGGGCTCGGGAAAAACAAACCTGCTGCGCCAGCTCGGTTGCATGTGTGAAACTGGCACTCTGCTGACCCGCCCGACCCACGACGCCCCAACGCAGGGGCAGGAGGTGCACTCACTCGTCTTGGAGGCACCGCAGAAGAAGGCGGCGTCCTGCACGGTTGAACTTCGCGAGTTGGGCGGAGAAATGGCCCCGGTGTGGGAGAAGTTTATTCGCTCCTGGCAGAACTCCCTCAAAGGCAATAGCGGCGCTAAGTCCGCCTTGATCTTTCTCGTGGATGCGTTGTCCCCTCACCTGCTCCCCATGGCGCCTGTCATGTTCAGCAGTCTGAAGGGCTCCGATGGGGCTTGCCGGGGTTGGCCGACGGCGGTGCTGCTCAACAAGGCTCTCGCAAAGAATGCCATGACGGAAGCGGAGTTGGAGTTTTTCCTTTCAATGGACGCCTGCAGTGACGCACAGCTGCTTGTCGTTGACTCCTGGAACGGGCTGGGGCTCGGGGATGTCATGGAATGGCTCAGCAGCGCGGCGTTATCGCAGCCAACCCCTTGAGAGGTGCTTGGCGGTGGGAGGCCGTCGTAAAAATCAAAACAGCAGAAACAAAAAAAAACGATGTCTCCATGGAGAAATCCCCCCCCCTCCACACACACACACACCGACAGTTCCACACACAGTGTATTTATCGCAGCCCCTTCTTTTTGCTGGCGGGGCGGTAGCTGCCTTCCACGCCGGTGGAAGCGCAGTCATGGGGGCCAGTGACGAATATCGGGGGAACCGTGTCGTTTGTCAAACCTTCTCTATGCGGCAGGCTTGGGAGGAGGTGTGTTCTCGAGCGACGGGGCTGTGTAGGATTCCTGCGCGGTTCCGCTCTGCGTTGTCACGACGATTCTCATTGCAATCGTGCTGTGGCGGCGTCCAAGACATGTTTTCCTCTTCTTTTGCTTTCCTTCTCTCCTTCGTTGCTTGTCGTTGGCGCATCGGCGTGTGTGGCTGGTGGCCCATACTTTCCCTCCTCTTCCTTTCTTGCCGTTCCTCTTGTAGCGACGGAGCGAAGAGGGCGGAGGGTGTGGCGGGGATGGGGGGAAAAAACATGCATGCCGCAGAGCCCCGCGCACGCGTGTCCTCCCTCGACGGACTTCTCTACGACATCGCCGGATATCTGCCGTCGCATCCGTTGGCTTTCCTCGCGGCCGCCCCCGCCACACGGCATGCAGTGGAGCGTGTCGTTTGTGACCCGCTGCTTCGAAGCGCGGCGACGCAGTGGGGCGGCACGAGCCACCCGGAGGGGGAGGTGTGGCTGCCCCACACTGGCGCCCTGTGCGGGCAACTGACAAACCTGAAGTACACGCTGTGGTGGATTCGGCGGCAGGCAGGCGTCAATGGCGGCAAACTGGCAGCTCTCTTTTTTGCGTATCGTTGCTCTATCGGAGACCTCACCGAAGTGAAGAATTTTTGCGGCCTTCGCTGCCTGTTTATCCCAGAGGCCACGCTGCTTAACAAAACACTCTCCCCCCTTGCAGCCTGCGCCACCTTGGAGCACCTCTGGCTGCGCTCCTGCCGCAGTGTGACGCGGGTGGGGGCACTGGGGCACCTTCGCTCGCTGAAGAGTCTTGACTTGTCCAAGACGGGGGTCACCGACGACGCTCTACTGGCGCTCGCTGCCTGCCCCTTGCTGGAGAAGGTGGACCTCTCCGGCTGCGCCTTCATTTGTGCTATTCCCTTTATGCAGGGCATGACACGCCTCCGCGTGCTGAAGCTGCGCAACTCGGGCATCACAGATCGTGCCATCGCGGTCGTTGGCACCGCCATCGCGCTCACTCACCTGGACCTCGCTGGCTGCTTTCTCGTCACTTCCCTCAACCCTCTGGGCCTCCTCAGCAGGCTTGAGTGGCTGAACGCCTCCTGGTGCGGCGTGCGTGACGGAGGCTTAGAGGGTCTCTCCCGTTGCGAAAACTTGGAGTATTTAAGTCTCTCACGCTGTTGGGACTTTTGCGGCGTAAACGCGCTCTGCGGACTTCCAAAACTGCAGGTGCTTGACCTTCGTGGCACAAACGTGGACGGGGAAGGCGTCGCGGGACTCGCGCGATGTCTGTCGCTGAGTATATTGAACCTCAGTGGCTGTTTCTGCATCCACTCCGTCAGTGTGTTCGCAGCGATGCCAAGCCTCAAGGAGATTGACGTGTCCTACACTGCTGTGACGGAGGAGAGCCTCCGCCGGCTGCCCAGCTGGGTACGCGTTGTGAGGAAGCCTGTCCGCGTTCCGTCGTGCAGTGCCTCACTGGCCCATTTGGAGACCCCGCGGCACCCGCGCGTTCGGTGAGTTCTCCTGTGTCTTGCGTGGGGCCCTCGTCAAAAAAAAAAAACTCCCGCCGTCGTTCCCTTAAGCGGCTCAAGCGCCTTGCTGCGTGCAACCTGCGCGTACGCCCAAGAGGGGGCACACACACACACACACACACACACACACATACACACACGATGCAAAAAAAGAAAAAAAAGCTGGGGGTGAGAGAAGCCCTTTACTGTGGGGTACGTGACTTTGCGCGTTTGCTTTGAGCGGCCTGCCCTCTCGCGGTTGACATTGTAAATAACAACACAATGGGGTTTATTCACCAGGTGCCGTGTGTGCGAGCGCTGCTTTTGAGGCGTCAATCCATTCACCTCGTGCTTTTTTGCGAGATAAGTTTAAGTCGACCCAATTCGAAGTTTGCGTTTGTTATTATGTGCCTGTGTGTGCGGTTCCGTTCGTTTTTGTGCTTGCTGCTGCTGCGTGGGGCAGTGCTCGCCCGTTTGCCCTGATGTTTCCTTCGCGTAGCGACGCGGGGCGCGTGCGAGGCCGGAGGCAACGCAGAAGAAGAAGAAAAGCATAGAAATTAATAGCGAGGTAGAGTGGCAATGCTCTGCAGGCTGCGGGTGGGAGCACTTCTCGCGGGCGAGGCCCTGCGCCCCGAGGCGCTGCTCTCGCAGCGGCGACGACTCAACATGAACCGCAGCGTGCAGACGCGGTGGGAAGCGGAGAATCAGGCAGCGTCGCAGCGGCGCACCGACTACGACTTCGACAAGGAGCAGTGGTCGAAGCAGATGCGGTTTGCGTCGATGGACTGCATCATGGACCCCGACATCACCCCCATCCGCTACACGACGATCGCCGGCCTCAAGAAGGCGTTTCGCCGTTTCATGACGATGCGGAAGCTCGTCGAGCGCCGCCCCGACTTCAACCCGGCGTCGCTGCAGAAGCTGTTCGTGCAGCTAAAGAAGACCTCGCACTCGCTCAACCCGGAGGACCTGAAGGTGCTGCAGCGCGTCACGACGCACGGGGAGGCGAGTCGTATCGGCAAGGAGATCAAGCTAGGAATGAATGAGGAGTTCTCCAGGAAGAGCTGGAAGGCCCTCAAGATGCAGGCGGTGAGTAACACGTACCAGATTGAGCTCGACTCCTTCCAGCTGGTCAACTGCTACATGGGGCAGATGGCGCAGGAGGACTGGTTGCAGATCACCTACAAGTGTGAGTATCGCGAGCGTCCAGGCGAGGCTGCGGAGTGGCAGAGCATGTGCGAGTACCCCGTCTTTGAGGTTCGCCTCGGCGACGGCGTACAGTCGCCCAACACACACGCGTTCATCGTCGTCGGGGTCATGCGGAAGGACGGCACACGTTACGGAAAGGACTCGCAGGATGCCGCTGCCCTGCGTAAGCAGTTTGACCGCACTGGCAAGTGGTTCTAATCGCCGCCGTTGGAGCGCAAAGGGAGGCATGTGGAGGTGGCGGCCTCCGGCTGCGCCCGTGTGGGGCCGCTGCCGTTTTTTTTTTTTTTTTCACTTTTATTTGGCGTGCCGCAGCCGGGGAACACCACAACAACGGCAAAGAGGAGGAGACAGAAGATAAAGAAAAAGAAACAGGGAATGTGCGTGCCGAGAGGCCGCTTCGTGGACGTGGTGTGATGAATGGCTGCGGGCCGAGGAGAGAAAAGGGGGGCGCAAAATTCACTCGCCAACATTCTCTCAAAAGGAGTGTGCGCCTTCTCCCTCCCCCTGCTTTCATCGCCGTGGTTTATTCCGCACATGTGCAGTCCGGCTTCCTTGAAGACCGTGCCAAGCATGCGTCTGTGGTTGCTGCTTTTGTTGTTTTTGATTTTCTCTCTTCTGCATTCGCTGCTACTAGGCGTGGGAGTGACTGCCAGAGAGAGAGAGGGATATACAAGTGCATAGGGAGGTGGTGGGTGGGTAGGGGAGCGCGTGCGAGGGCCGGCGATGGAGGCGGTTGCCAAGAGTTACTTCAACAGCGGCGACATGAAGGCGGCGGCGACCTTCTACTGCAACCTGATGGTCCTGCACCCGCGGTACGTGCGCATGGCGCGCATCTGCAGAGTCCTCGCGGATCCCGCGGCGGTGCCGCAGCCGCACCGCTACGCGGACATCGTGGAGGCGCTGCTGGACCCCGCCATCACCCACGAGGCCCTCTTCGGGGGCGCCGCGGACCCCGCGGACGTCAACAAGGCCTTCCAGCGCTGGACGCTCCTGGTGCACCCCGACAAGAACCCCTACCCGCGGGCGGGGGACGCCTTCAAGCGGCTCTTCTCCCTGAAGACGCTCGCTCTGGAGGTGGCCAACGAGGCGAAGGAGAAGGCCGGGCACGCGGGTTCCCCGCACGTCGGCGGGAAACATGGCGGCGGGGGGCCCGACGGGAGGTCGGAGGACCCCGCAGTGCCAAACCGCCATGGCGCGAACGCGTCCACCGCCGCCAAGGCCTCGGTGATAGACGCGACGCTCTCCGAGATGAAGAAGCGGCAGGTCACGCTCAAGTCGCTGAAGCGAAAGGACATTGACGACAGTGACCTGCCGAAGTTGCGCACCACCCTCCGCGGCGTGCAGGAGCGCCGCTTCTGTTCGACTCCGCCAACTCCGTTGGCGTCGACGGAGCCGTGCATGCCGGCGCACTTCCTCTCACCCGACCAATCCGTCTCCTCCGACGGCTTGCCCGCCCTGCACCTGCACCTGCCGCACCCCGTGGTCGACAGGCAAACCTCGCCGGCGCCGTCGCTGCTCCCAAAGGGCAACACTTTGTTTGGGACAGCGAGCGTGGACGAGGACGCACTACACGGCAGCTCCACCGCCAGCTCTTCGCAGGGTGTGCCGTCAGTCACTGCTGTGACTGAGCAACTAGAGCAAATATTAACAGAGGAAGACCCGTTAGGCCATCAGCAAGCTGCGCATAACATAGGGGCAGAGGTGCCGCCAACTACCGATGTAAATACAGCGAATGGAGTAATTGGGACGCAGGGTACGGGCAGTGGCATCGTCTGCGCACCAGAATTGGGAGTTGTTTCTCCGTCACCCCCCACTTCTGTTGCGCACGAAGGTGTGTCATTCACGGATGCGGTAAAGGGAAGTATCGTGGAGTTGATGCGGGGCATTCAAGCGGTGAGGATCAACCGTGCGCCCCTGCGTTTGAACTGTGACCTCACCTTTGCCACGTACGAGCGGGAGCGACTGCGGAAAATGGAAGCTGAGGTGAAGAAGTCATTGGCAGAATGATTGAGCACTCCGTGGCCTGCGGTGGGGTGGGGTGGGGCAGCATGCCCGCTAGTACAACCGCCCCCCGTGCCTTCCCGATTCATCCATTCCATGAGATGTAACGTAGACATTCTTGTGAGTGAGTGTGCGTGTGTTTTATTTTATTTTTCTTCTGGTCATTGTGTTTGTGTTTGTTTGTCAGTCTTCCTCATCCCGCCTTCCTTTGTGTGAATAAAAAGACGTGGGCATAGTACCCCCGCTGCATGCGTGTGTGCGTGTGTGTGTGTCTGAGGGCCTTCTGTGTTGGCGTGGGGAATGACACGTTGTAGCGCCTCCTCCCCCGCCTCACCGCCGTCAACCGACACGCTACCCGCTTCTTCTCTCGCGTGAAGTGCAGTGAAGCAAAGCGAAGCCAAACCGGGCCCGACACACGCACACACACACAGGCCCGCACTCACGCATTGAGTGAATAAATAGGGGGGGGGGGCACGCACCACTTGCGATGTCGCTGCCAAAACACCGGCAAACGGTGCCGCTGCCGGAGTTGGTGCCCCCGAATCGCGCCGCCACGATGGCTGCCGCTGCGGCGGCGGCGGCTCCCACCCGCGCCACCCCGCAGGAGGCGGAGGCGGCTGTGGGCACCGACGCAAAGATTGAGCGCCACCGCTACGCCAAGCTGCTCCTGCACCACGTGCAGCGCTACCACCAGTTCACCTCCGTGGAACTCTTTGTTGAGGCGGTGCTGCGGGATGTTGCCCTGCAGGAGGGCGTCACACCGCAGGCGCGCGCCGCGGCCGCATCCTGGGCGATGAGGCTCCTCTGCGGCGGCGTCCCCTCTCGGCGGCGGGTGATGGAGGCCCTCGTGGAGGCCCTCTTCCCCGCCATCTACCGCGACTACGATGAGAAAAGGCTCGACTACGCCCCCCCTGCGATACAAGTCCTCGTGAATGACCGGGCCCTGCTCCGCGACAACCCGTTCTTCTCCCACTCCATGTACATGCAGGACCTCGTGGTGGCCAACGCCACCACTGCGACCCTCTCAGGGCGGCTGCGGCGCACGCTGCCAACGATACTGCGCTGGAAAAAGTTTGTGTTTGCCCTCGTGGGTTACATTCAACACGAGATCAAGCGAAGGTCATTTTTGGCGTGGCGGGGGTTCGCCAAACGAAGCCGCGCAGAAAACCTGCTCCGACGCAACGTCATCGTTCGCCACGAGCAAAAGATACTTTCCTTGCGGCTGCAGGCGGCCTTCTTTCGCTGGAAGGCGGCGGTGGAGTCCTCCCGCACGGAGTACCTGACGGAGCGCTTGCACCAGGCGGCGTTCCAGCTAGAGAGTGCAAAGAACCAGTTTCAGCTGCAGTGCCTCCGCGCAGACAAGCTGCAGCTGAGCTACGAAGCGGGGCAGGCGGATCTTCTGACCGTCATGCAAGGGCGCGACGAGCTGCGGAGGGAAGTGGAGGAGCTCAACGAGACGCTGGCGCTAAGAGAAAAAGAGCACCAGGAGCGCATACGGGCCCGCGTCAGTGAGGTGGTGGCGCTCGTGCAGCAGCAGCGCTGTGTGCTGCGAAAGGCGATAGATGCCCGCCTCCGCGTTGCGGAGCTCACGGCCGACTGGCTGGATGAGGCGCTGCAGGAGGCGAAGCCAAAGACGTTGGACGCCGCGGCGGCGGCGGCGGAGGACGCGTTCCCGCCGGGCTACAAATTTCTCCTGAAGTGGTGCAACCACGTCTACTGCGTGCAGCAGGCCAAGCGGCCACTGCGGGTGTCCAACTTCGCCGCAGACTTTTCCAACGGCGACGCGTACCTGCTGCTGCTGCTGTACGTCTTTGCGGAGGAGCGGGTCACCACCATCGTGCCCCCGCCCCCGCCAACGCGGCTGTCCGGAATCGCCAAATACGAGCGGCTGGTTCGGGTGTGTGAGTACGCCGCGAGCACGCCGCTTGCCATCGTCCTTGCGCCGGAAGACTTTGGCTACATGCGGGAGGACAAAATCGCCGCCGCCGTCGCGGAGATATTTTTGTTCCACGTCAGGGAGACGCGGGTGATGTACACAAACGAGGCACGACGAATTGTTGGCGGTGTGGCTGCGCGCTACGAGCCCGGCGCGAACAATTGCACTCCCGCCACTGCCCCTGCCCCTGCTGCGGCTGCTGCTAGCGGCGGCGACGGTGCGGACGCGGACGCGGGCGTCGCGGCTGGCACGGGTGTTACGGAAGAGGAAGGCCTCCAGCTAAAAGTTCTTGGGTGGAAGAGCGAGCTGGAACGGTGGGCGGAGGAGCTGCACGCGAATGTGCTGCAGGAGCAAAAATTCCAGCGCTGCGACGTGGCGATCGCTTCTGAGGCAGACCACATTTTGCGGGAGCGGGCCCAAGGGCAGCCCGTCTACGTCGTGACCTCGAACACGGGCCTCATGTTCACGAACGTTAGCGCAAAAAACACGGAGGACCTCCGTGCGCGGGTCAAAACGCCAACGTCGCAGGCTTGGAAGACGTTTTTGCGGACGGCGCTCCGGGGCGTGCTCTGGAGGCACATTCGGCTCATTGCCGCCCACTTTTACCACTTCGCCGGCGCGGATTCGCGCAAGATGGGCGAGGTGCAGTTTTGGCGCTTCGCCGAGGAAACCCGACTGACCGCGGAGCCCTTCTCCCCACTGCTGGTGATGCAGATCTTCGACATCGTTGCCTCGCCGCAGCTCGCGGCGCTGTGGCGCTCTGGCGCGAAGGATGAGAGGCGGGAGAATCTGCTGGAGGCGGCGCAGGAGGAAATTGAGATACGCAGCGTGAAGCCCGCCCAGTTCACGGAGATCCTTGTGCGCCTTGCGATGACGCAGTACAAGGGTGGCATCGTTGAGGCGACCGACCGCTTTCTCTCGGGTCTGCAGCTTCCTGTTCTGGAAAATGTTTTGCCGGTCACGTCCAGCTTCTACGGGCTGGACCCACAGCGAGTCGTGACCTATTTTCAGCATGATTTGGCTCGCGTGTTCTTCTTTTACGTGAATCGCCAGATGCTTGGGAGTCTGCGCAGGCGATCTCGCAGCGTTCACGGCTGTGGACGCTTCATGGCACGTCTCTCGCACACAATGTATCTAAAGATGTTTGTGGACTGCGATTTTATTCTTCCAGAGCAAGAAATCGGCTCCGGCAGTGCCGGGTACCAGCGAAAGACCCGCTTCATGTCCGCGGAGGAAGTACTGAAGATGCTGGAGGTGGTGCAGACGCGCATCCCATCTCTCCCCGCCGGAGAGCTCTGCTTCTCCCTCTTCCTCGAAACGTTTGGCGTGACCTGCGTGTACTGGTGGCCGGACCCAGTCGTGCCACTGTCGCGCAAACTCGGCGCTTTTCTTGCTGACATGATGGATAAGTTGCGTGCAGTGTTTTTGCGTGACACGCTAGTTTTGGGCCCCACTCCGTTCATTCCTCTTGAGGGCGGCGCACATGTGGAATTGTTTTGACCGTTGACTCGTGCCGTACGTTGTTGTCGCTGTTCCCCCTACTCCTTCTGCTGCTGCTGCGCCTCTGCCGCCGATGTACAGTGACGGCATTTGTGTTTCTTTGTGTGTGTGTGTGTGTGTGTGCGCGCGCGTATGTAAGTCTGCAACCGCGGAGCCCTGTGAAAAGGGGGAGGCGCTCCCTTTCCACCACAGCCCCTGGTGCACCACGGGCCCGGGAGGGCAAGCAATGCAGCCTTCGTCGCACTTGTTTTTTTTTTCTGTTGTTTTTGTGTGTGTCTCACGTACCAAGCGAGGAGGCACCGAAGAAAACAGAAACAAAAACAAAAAGGGCGGCGATGGAGCGGTCGTGCCTGCGATTGATGGTGCGGCGGCACTTTGTAGTGTCTCCCGGGGCGCCGCGCATTCCGCTCGCCCAACGGCGCACGATGATGGGTCTCTTTGAGGAGGAGAGCCCGTCGGGGTCGGGGAAAACCGACGTCGCGGCGTTCGCCCGCTCGATGGATCACCTGGAGAGCCGCAACCTGCGGCTGGACCGGAAGGCGCACGGCATCCCCTTCCACGTTGGCGAGGAGGCGGCGCTGGATGCGGTGTGCCGGCACCACGGCACCGCGGTGCACGTCCACGGCGTGGAGCGGTACATGATGCCCTTTTGGCTCGGCGCCACGGCGGCGAGCGGCAGTTTTCGCGCCGACGTGCTCCAGAAGGACCCGGCGTTTCTGACGCAGCAAAACTGCCTCGTGTGGGTGGAGGGGCCGCGGTACGAGTTCCACTACCCCTTTGGCGAGCACCACGTGTTCAATCAGGTCTCCGCGTCCTACCTTCACCCCCTCGCCGCCGTGGAGCGGTGTGTGGCGGGCACGCACGTGCCCTCGATGCTGATCTCGCGCTTTGAGCTTCTCAGGGAGTTGGAGGCGATGGCCGCCCCGCCGAAGGTCGTCCCGTTCGCGATGTCGACCGTGACGGCGCTTTCCATCCTGGACACCCGCCTGACCCGCGCCATGCTGCTGCGGCGCATCGACCAGGAGCTGGTGAAGTTCCACGGCTCCTTCGTGCGGAGCAGCGTCACCGTCACCAGCGTCTTCAAGGAGAGCGTGGGCCTCCGACCAGTGTTTTTACCGATGATGAAGTTTACAGTCTCCACCGGCGCCAACGTCACGCCGGTCCCGTCGTTCGTGTGCGGCGCGACGGGCAAAGTCGTTGGCCCCGTGCTGCACCTCACGCCACGGGCAAAGCTGAGTTCCATGGCGCTTGCCGGGGCGGCTGCCATGCTGGCACTGGCGCCCGTCGTGGACCCCGGCGTGGCAACGGCGGCCGCAATTGCATCGGCGGCTGCCTCCGTGTACCTTCGCCGCTGCCTGCTCACCCTGCGCTTCCTGCGGGAGCAGGCGCGGCAGCTGGCAGAGCTCAAGGCAACCGGCATGTTGTACTTTTCCTCCGACCAGAGCGGCTACCGCTGGTCCCCCGAAGACGAGGAGCGGGCCGAGTACGAGTACCGCGAGGAGCTGCGGCAGCGGGCACGCAGAAAAGAGGCGTTCGAGCAGCGGGTGAAGGAGGAAGCCGCGCGGGACGAGGCGCGCAGCAGGCGCCACATTGACCCAAAGAACCGGCGACGGACGGACCTGGAGAACGTCGACCCGCTGGGATACTACCAGCTGCTTGGCCTGACCGGGCGGGAGCTGAACGCCACGGCAAAGGACATTGCGAGGGCATTCCGTGAGGCCGCGCAGCATCACCACCCCGACGTGGTTCACGGCGACGACGACAAAGCGAAGCACACAATGCAGCGGATCATTCATGCCTACAAGATCCTCCGCGACCCCAAAACGAAGAAGGCGTACGACTCGGGCCAACTGACAGCCCAGGAGGAGAGCTCTGGTTAGTGTTTGCCTATTCGCATGCGTGCGTGTGTGTGTGTGCGTGTGTGCAGCAGACTTCATTTATTCAAATGCAAGTGATGTGCATCAAAGTGGCAGGGCAGGCTGCTTTTAGAGGATTTGTGTGGCGCCGTACGACAGCTTTTGTATCCGCTCCCCCCACTCCTCACCTCTTCCCTAAGGCAGGCACTCCCACCCATGTCGTTACCGCCTCCACCAGCAGCCGCAGTGCCGCCCCCACCAGCAGCTGCAGTGCCGCCCCCACCAGCAGCTGCAGTGCCGCCCCCACCAGCAGCTGCAGTGCCGCCCCACCAGCAGCTGCAGTGCCGCCCCACAGCAGCCGCAGTGCCGCCCCCACCAGCAGCCGCAGTGCCGCCCCACCAGCAGCCGCAGTGCCGCCCCACCAGCAGCTGCAGTGCCGCCCCCACCAGCACCAGCCGCATTGTCGCCACATCCAGCACCAGCCGCATTGTCGCCACATCCGGCACCAGCCGCATTGCCGCCACATCCAGCATTAGCTGCAGTGCCGCCACATCCAGCAGCAGCCGCATTGCCGCCACATCCAGCATTAGCTGCAGTGCCGCCACATCCAGCGGCAGCTGCATTACCGCCACATCCTCCAGCAGCTGCAGTTCAACCGCCACCGTCTGTCCTTCCTGCAAGTTATTTACCTACAATAGGGCCTGTGCCGCCTGGAACCGCGTCCCAGCTGGCGGAGGCGGCACATTTGACGCAGGTACCAACTGGCTCATCCTTGCCGGCTGGCATCGGTATACAGCCTCAGCAGGTTGTAACTGAGGAGGCACGACGTCGGCTAGAGGAAGCCGCATTGCAGCAATTTACCAGCGCTGCGGGTGATCATTACTTGGAGGTGGACGAAGTGGTGCGAGACACAATATGCAAGCTGTTCTTTTTGAGTAATTATGACGTGGGTACAATGATGGCTTCTGTGGTGAGGAGCCTGCATTGTTTGGGGCGGTACGATGTCGGTCTGCTCCGTAACGATGACAGTACGGCCTTTACAGTCATCCAATCTCCCCCGTTCAATGAGGCCGTCGTGGTAGACGAGGCTCAGCGTGTTGAAATGCGCCACCACGCCATACAGGCAGCCAAGCGTCGGATAGAGGGCGCAGACAGTCGCTCTAGGTCGAGGTTTCTCGACGTTGCCCAGGCCGGAACGAAGCCGAACGAGCAACCAGAACGCAAACCTCCGTCGCGGCTTCGCAAGGAAACGGCGGCATTCCCCAAGACTTCTTATGAACAGATACAAGATTTGCTGCGGACATTTCGTGCAAATAGAGCGGGGAGGGGGCGCAGCGCATCCGCCGGCCCGCAGGCTGCGTCGCCGGGGGCTGACGGGTACTTCCTGCGGCGTTACGGTGGGAATTACCCCAAGGAGAACTACTACGCCCACTACCGTATGTACGGCCTGAAGAAGTAGCGAGGGGGCGGGTCGGGCGGTGGAACTTCGTGTGGGCTCTCGCAGGGGACAGCAGTGTTGAATAGAGGCACGGCAATGGCGGCTTTCTATTTTGGCGCTGCAACGCCAGGCAGGTAAAAAAGAGGAGAAGGAACAAACGGGGAAGAATAGAATATGTTTGTCGCCGGAAGGGGGACCGTTTTGTTTTACTTTTAGTTTTTACTCTGCGTGTTCACTCTTTTTTTTTCTTATTGGGTGATGCGGTGGGGAGATGGAGAAGTGCGCGTGTGCTTCCGGCCAAAGTGTTGGGCCTCGCACGCTCCAGAGGTCAACTGGCCACCATCTTCGGAATTCTTCGCCAGGGCGGTTGAGTTTAGGCGGCAGCTGGCGAACAAACGATATATCGCCGGTTGTTTGCGTTGCCACGGCGAAGCCCCCGGGTCTCGCACACCGCCATTTGCACCGACACGGCGGCCAACACGTCTACGTGCCATTGCTGTGATGGTTGTAGTTAAATGACAATGTGGGCCTGGCCTCTTTGCCCCCGTGGATGCGATGCATGCCTTTTGCTTTATTGTATGTGTGTCATCGCCTATAGCAACTGCGTCGACGAGTCATTTCCGTGGAGCTCGCTGCTCGTCGTGGTGAACGCTGTGCGTGTGCGTGTGCGTGTGCGTGTGTGTGCGTGTGCGTCCTCGTTGTTTTCTTCTCTCCGAGGAGGAGGAGGATGCCACAGCATGGATGTTGCCTTTGCCTCTTGCACGGTGTGCGTGCGTCATTTTCGCTGCTGGCAGAGTAACGAGTGCTCCCTGTGGCAGGTGACGGGCAAGCCAGTAGGCATACACATACGCGGAGAAGGTAAAACAAGCTCAGAGAGGGAAGAGAGCGTCGAGGGCGGGGGTGGTATAGGTGACTAGGAGGCAACCCCCAAAGGTAAGAAAGGCGAGGCAAGGAAGAAGACACAAAGAAGAAAGAAGAAAAAAAGGAGAGGTCATTGAGGCTAGTGCTAACATCTTCTTCCAAGAGCGATGGTGCGACGGAAGGTCATCATCGACACAGACTGTGGGGGCGATGACGCGATTGGAATCATGACCGCCATGACGCATCCGGACGTA